TGACTTATAGCAATCATCCGCAGGAGCCAGACAGCACATATTTCATAAAGTCTCTCTGTTTCTTTACAAAACTTCCAATTACTTCGCTCCGAAGGCCCTGCTCCCCCTGTTTCCGGTTCAATTTAATGTTCTCCAGCTGTTATGTTGGGTGGATGTGCACACGCAAGAGCAGCTAATTTTGCCACTGGGTTTACACTCGCCTTGACATTGATATAATGGCTAACAAGGAAGGAAAGGAATCAAACAGGGATTGAGATCTAGTGTAAATATATGGTGCAGAATGGCTGTAGATTTAGGGATGAACAAAAATGATATGATTACTATATTTACTCAACCTGTTGTCATTTTGAACCCGTGTGAGTGACTTTCTTTTGTAGATGACAAAAGAAGTAGTTTAACAGAATGTTCATACTGCTCTTTTTCGGATAATAAAGATAGTGATCAGAACCTGACCATAATTATTTTCCCTTTTGGCAAAACTCCCAAATCTCATGTATATTTATATAGCATGTCAAGATATTACATGCCAAATAAATGCCAAATATCAATGAAGTAATGTTATTTTAGTATTATTTTTATATTATTTTAGTATTTATTAATATTTTAAATTAGATTTTATTTTATTTTTGTATTTTCAGTTTGAGTCATTTTGCTTTGTGTCATTTTTATTATTTTTTATTTAGTTTTAATTTATTCATTTATTAGCTTTATGTATATTTCAGCTTTAGTTTTAGTAATTTTAGTACTTTAACTTTTCATTAGTCTTTTAAGGTTTATTTTTTCATCTAATTTATTTACATTTTATTTTAGCTACATATTTCAGTTACCAAAAATATTTTAATAGTTTTAGTTAATGATAACAACTCTGCAATGAAGCCAAATATTAATACCAAACGTGCATATTCGAATAGCATGAATATACAGCAGATTTTAAGGTTTTTAGATTTAAAGTGTATAATTTGTATAACTTTTAATAATATTTATAATAAATCAAATATTAATTTATAGAATAATAAATAAAGCATTTAAACAATTCACAATAATTATAATATTGAATTAAATTTTGGCCTCTTCACTCAAATCTGCAGTATGACTTTGGAGGATGTCTGTCATTTCACTTTGTTTCCAAAAACTTGTTGCATCTCAATAATTTGAGGTTAGAATCTCCCTACTGATGTCAAAACCAAACCTACAGCCTTGTACTTCAACATATTGAGGTTATAGAGAGAATGATCCTCATTGAGCTACCAAATAAAATGATAGTCCACTTGATTTTCTGCAATCATTGAGGTTAGATGCAGGTTCTGTTTGCATTTTTGCACTTTATTTAAGTTTTCCTTGCTTCCTTTCACCTCACTTTCAGAAAACTACTCGTAATGGAATAACACTTCTGGATGTTTTTGTTCGAATATCATTTTTTTTTGACAAGGTCATGTCAGACATGTCTAGAAAAAAAAAATTGGCTGTTTCGACATGGATGAGCCTGTATCTCCATTTGATTGCCTTAGCTTTTTCCAAGGCTTTGTGTTGTGAGCATTAGAGTAGAAACACATCAAACTCTTTTATAGTGCATTTAACTTTGATCTCTTGTCATGTGTCTGTAGCAACGCTATTTTCTACTATACCTCTAACACACCGGTCCTGTCTCAA